GGGCTAAGCTACTTTCACTGAGAGCTGGTAAAAACCAAGGGCTACTGGCTTTGAAAATGCCTAACAGGCAGGGAGTTGTTGAGAGAGCAGCCAAGAGCTATGGGCTCTGGCTAGGGACAGCTACCAAGAGCTGCTAAAAGGACTGCCAAGAGCAGCACTCGTGCTGAGAGCTGCTGGTGATCCGAGTTACTAATGCTAAGAACTGAGAGTCACTGACACACAGAGCTCAGACTGTGACACTAGGAATTGTGCTTTGTATTTTCATGATTTCGACCCAAATTAAGCAACAAACCCCATAGGTTGAAACCTGCATATTCTGAATTCAGGATTATCTATAAACTCCTGAATTCTCACTTCATAACTACTCTACAGTATAGCACCCTACCATACCAAGAACTCATTTAAAAGAGGCACATACTTCCTAAACCATGTTTTTAAAAGAAATCTCTAAGAATCCTACTCAGGCTATAAATTTTTCCATTACAATGACTCAGGAATAATTCTAGGAAAATTAGGCAATGACATTGGACAAGCCACAACTATTCCAAGAAGCTGGAACCAGAATTCAGATTTCCTCAGTTCCATACTGCAACTCATGAAAATGAGTAAATATTTGGAAATCACTAAGCAGAAATCAGTAGTCATAAAATGTGACTTATAATGGCATACAAAAGATTCCTAAAACGCAGCTAGCAATCAAATCATTCAAACAATTTTTACTTTTCCATGGCTATGTGATGCATCTGCTTTCCTTCTTGGAAATTTGGAGAAAATCTTAACAATGTTTGGTTAAGTTGAAAACAAAAGCTATTTAACGCAGTTTAGAATGTCTAAGTGTCACATATAGATTTTCCCGTTATATTAGCAGAAAGAAAATGCTAAAATAAAACACAAGAGATGATACCTACCTTTAATCTTTAAAAAGGTAATTTTAATTTAAAAAGGTAATTTAAAACTACAAATGGCACAAACGTTGTGCTCCTTTAAGGACTTTCAGATTTAGATAACCACACACACATTTGTGCAATGTGCACACACACATCTGACAATGTCTACTGGCATTCAGAATCCACTCCTTTCTCCTGCCCTCTCCCCACCTTCAAGGACCACTAAATCTACACTTCTGTGCTCCCTTGCTAAGGAAATCATGGCTTTGGTTTATTTCTTCTTCCTTTATCTAGATAACTTTCACGTCGTTTTTTTCTGCTTTTGCACTAACAGGATTCTAGCACAGCAGTGGACCAGAAGTGCAGTGACCATCCTTATCTTGTTCCAAATGTTAGATCTTTAGGCATTTAGTCTTCACTAATAATCACAATACTAGCGGTACGGCTTTCAGAGATACCTGTAACAAGTTCTAGAAAGTCTTTTTTTCCTACTTTTGAAAGTGTTTCTTATATTCCTATTTTTCTGAGTTTTTATAAAGAATAAATCATGAGAATCATTAGCTTTTTCTCCGCATCCACATAAATGATCAATCATAGGAACTTAACATTCTGTTGCTTATTCTGCTAATATTGTGGATTATACTGATTTTTAAATACTGTCCAAATTCTGGTCTGAGGTAAATAGCACTTGTATGTGTATTATCCTTTTATAGTAATGAACTCAAGTGTTACAGATGTTTCTGTTACTAGGAGTCCATGGTACGTGACTAATGAGGCTGAGCAGTAAGGATATTTTCTTTCATTGCTGAGAGTTTAGTAATCAGCAAGAAGGGCTTTGATTAAATGTGGAAACTGGATGAAGAGTTGGCCAGTTAGGACCACCTGACTAGATGTGAGCACAGAATTATAAGAAAAAGTCCCAAGGTATGTCCAACCTTTGGACACTGTGACACAACACTGTTAGATATAAAGGTCACACTTGAGAATTATACAACCATGTTACCAACAACAACAACAAAAATCTTATATTTTAAGTTAGTTTAGGATTTTCGGTTGAAGTCTCATTCATAGCTCTCCTGGAGGGCACTTGGGCTTCAGGCCTCAAGTTGTTGGACATATTGGAGAGGACAACAGATCAGACTATGTGGAAAATACAGGTGAATAAACTTGTGGAGGTTCAAGAGAACTTCAAGAAGACCGAAATGTAGCCCCTTTGAAGATAAGTTTGTGTGACTGCTAGTGTATTAGCTACTTTTCTGTTGCTGTGATAGAAACACCATGAGCAAGGGCACTTATAAAAGGAAGAGTTCATAAGTTTATAAGGAAGAGGCCATGACAGCAGAGGTGGCTGGAGTAGGAGCAGAAACTAAGCTCTCACATCTTCAAGCAGGCACAGGAAGCAGAGCATGACTAGAGATCTGGCAAGGCTTAAGAACTCTCTAAGCCCACCCCCAGTGACATACTTCCTCCAGCATGGCCACACCTTCTAAGACCTCCCAAAACAGCACTACCAACTGGAGACAAAATGTCCAAATACTTGGAGCCTATGGGGGACCACCATAGGCTAAGCTAGTAAGGCTGCCCAGGACACAACATCTTGATCTGCATAACTAGGGTGAAATTATATTCCATCCAAATAATCTCACAATGTCTAATCTCATGTATTGTCACATACTGTAGCTTCATGCAAATGATTTCACAATGTCCACATTTGCATATTGTAAAGTACACTTCAAATCTAGTCATCTCAATCAGTGATTCTTAAAGTTTTTCTGTTCATTAGGCTGGAGAGATGGCTCAGTGGTTAAGGGCACTGGCTGCTCTTCCAGAGGACCTGGGTTTGTTCCCAGTACCCATGTAACAGCTAACAACCATCCTAACTCCAGTTCTAGAGGATCTGGCATCCTCTTTGGGCTTCCAAAGATATTACACACATGTGATGCACTTACATACATGGAGGCAAAACACTGATATATAAAATTAAAATACATAAATTTTTTCTAAAAAATTTCCACTCAAGACCCCTTTCTCCTGAGTTTTTCATGAACCCAAGTAGATAAGTGTATGAAATTAAGTGTGTGTGTGTGTGTATATATCTATCTCACACATACATATATGTATGTATATGTGTGTGTGAAACATTTACAGATAATAAATCATAAAGAATTTTATCTTAATACAATTCCTTGGTATACACATAATTTTATCATCTGCTAAATTCTAAAGTCTAAAACAAATTTGCATACTAATGAGATAGATGTGCTTACTTTTGCATAAAAAAATCATGGCTGAATATCTGATACTGCAGGACTCTCAGAGCTGATGATATTTTGAGTTTATAATTGTTGGTACTCAGAATACTGCTTCACATTCTGAAAATGGGAATTTCTGTGCTCTCTTTACTCCTAGTACAGCCACAAGCTTATCGATTTCATCTTAAAGAACCACTTTGTGATTTCACTGGGTTTTTTTCTCATTTCATTGATTTTGCTCTTGGTGTTCTTCTTGCCTCTTGTACTATGTTTAATTTGGTCTTCTGCTTTTCTAAGGTGAAACTTAGATGACTGTTCTAAATCCTGTTTTCTAACATAAACGCTGAACTATAAATTTTCCTTTTAAGTAGTGCCTTGAGGGCATCCCATACATTTTGATATATTGGGATTTAATTAACATTCAATTCAAAATATCTTCAGATATGACCATTAACTTCAAAATATGTGTAGATTTCCCAGATACCTGATACTGAGTTCTAGCTTAATTTCATTGCGGTCAGAAAAATTACCTGTAAAATATAGAAATCAGACACTTAACTTTCCTATGGTAAATTACTGCAATGAAATGCCCAAGGTCAAAAATCAGACAGAATTAGAGATTAGACTCTTTCAGCTTCCAGTACAGCATTCTTGGCACTTTATATTTTCTCTTAATACCATCTCAAAACCAAAAACTCCTTATTCTCTCTCTTATAATTCAAAAACGGTGGAGGAGGCAGCGGCATGTGTATCATTTCATTTGATGTTTCAAACTCTATAAAAAACTGGCAAGACAGATGATACTAGTCTTCACATCAGGAAAGGAAGCTCACGAAAGCAACTCACCTTGTGACTCTAATAAATCTTACTGTGTTTCAACTGTCGCTCAAAGATAGAGCACTGAAACCTATAAGAACTCTAATATTAATTTATTCATGTATTACTCATATATTATGCATAATATATGTATTATTCATTCATGTAAGCAATGTATCTTGATCATATCGACCCACAAGTCCCTCCTCCCTCTGAAATCTACAAATATTTTTTAAAACTCATTTTAGCCACAGCTAACCACTATCAGCTGGACATGATAGCTAACACCTGTAATACCAGCATTCAGGAGGCAGAGGCAGGTGGATACTGTGGGTTCCAGGCCAGCCTAATCTACATAGAGTGTTCCAGGCCAGCCAGGAGACCCTGTCTTAAAAAAGAGAGAGAGGGGGCTGGAGAGATGGCTCAGCGGTGACTGGGGTTCGAATCCCAGCACCCACATGGCAGCTAACAACTGTCCGTAACTCCAGTCCCAGGGGATCCAACAGCCTCTTCTGACCTCCGCGGGCACTGCACAACATGGGTGCACTTATCTACATGCAGGCAACACATGCGTATACATACAGTAAAAATAATAAATTTTTTTTTAAAAAAGAAAATTACCACTACCTCAGTTCAAAACGAATTACTAAAATGGTCTAGCACTAAATTTTTTAATATGGAATTTTCATACATATCTAATATTAGGAAGATTTAAATAACAAAAAGAAACCTGATTAAACCCCCAGAAAACAAAAATCAGATGGGGAAAAATAAGAATATGAGACCTCAGCTTAATAAGCCATAAACTGATCATACTATTTATTTCACACAAAAATAATGAAATCAATACATCCAGTTACAATTCTTATTTAAATCCTGAACTGTTGATTAGGATCAAAAGCTAAATATCTGTTGGTAATAATATATTAAAATGGTTAATATTAAGTATTCAAAGATACTAAAATATTTTATGTTATTCTATTTTCAATTTATTTCTAGACTATAATGTTACTGAAATGTAATGGCTTTGATGGCATGTACTTACCAGGTAATTGTTGACTTGTGGGTTGCAGAAATTTAGGAAGCATCACCGCTTTTGCTCAACTGTCAGCAGTAACAGCAATCAAAATTAAAACTAAAAGACAAAAATTTTTAATTAACAGTAGGCAAAATGTTTTCAAGTCTTCAACTAACCCTTAAATTCAAATTTTGCATTTCAACAATTTCATCAAGAGAGACCTAATCCCAGAACTAGGTTTTTTTGTTATTGTTTGTATTAGTTTAAGCAAAGATCTAATATAATATATAAGGTCTTACAGAATTCTAACTACTTACTCTGTAATAAACTCTAGATACAAAGATTCATGTTTATTAACAGCTAAGAGACAGAGAAGTAGTCAATTACATTATAGATACTTAAAACCATTCAATTTATTTACTCAGTTAACACATTTTTTAGCATTGTTACTGCCTTCACAGAATGAAGCAAATAATGTTGATTGTTCACATAAGAACTATATCTTTGTATTAATTTTCCCAACAATATTTGAATTTAATTAAAATCTTAATGTTATAAAAAACAATTGATAGCAAAAATAAATAAATAAATAAATAAATAAATAAATAAATAAATAAATAAGGGTAAACACCAGGCGTGGTGACGCACACCTTTAATCCCAGCACTCAGGAGGAGGCAGAGGCAGGTAGATCTCTCTGAGACTGAAGCCAGCTTGGTCTACATAGGAAGTTTCAGGCTAGCTGGGGCTACAGGGAGACCCTGAAAAAACAAACAAAACAAAACAAAACAAAACAAAACAAAACAAAACAAACAAACAACAAAAACAAAAAATGAGGCTGGGGCTAAGTATAGTGGCACATGCCTTAATCCCAGCACTGGGGAGGCAGAGGCAGGCAGATTGCAACATAGTAAGACAAAGTCAAAAAAAAAGAAAAGAATCAACACTTTAAACACGAAACACATAAAGCTGGATAAGAAACAACTGCCCGTGAAAGTACTGGAATGAGATGTATGAAGATGATTTTGATGCAATAAAACAAGTCAAGAAATTGAGAACAAAGCAGATCAGAAGTGGAATGCAACATGCTAAACAGCTTCTTAGAGGTCACAAATGGGGGAAGTCCCAGCAAGAAGAAAGGTAACCTCAAGTCTACCAAAAATAATGATCTGAACATGCATGAGCTATATATAGTTCAATACAGTTAGAGAATGAGCAGAGTTAAGACTGGCACCATCCTCTTGAGAATACTTTTTAAAAACCAGAGTAACAGGTCAGTGACTCCAGTTTATACATGTTATATTTTGCCCTCTACAAATCAAAAGCAACAGACAGCTTTCCCTCTCTTCCTAGGGGTCAGTTATACAGTCAGGTGTTGATTTTACAGAGTAAAAGAGAAATGCAGGGACTGGAGAGATGGTTCAGCAGCTAAGAGTGTGTACTGCTCCTGCACAGCACCTGGGTTCAGTTTCCAGTAAGTGTGTCTGGTGTCTCACAAACCCTGGCAACTCCAGCTCCATGAGCTGACACCTCTGGCCTCCACAGACACCAGCATTCATATACACATACCCACACAGAGACACACATACATATCATTAAAAATAAATCTTTTAAAGGAAAGAAAAATGTATTCTTTTTGTAAGCCATTTGTATACATCATCATCTTATTCACAAATACAGAAAATTACCCATTTATTTTAGATTATCCAGGCCCTTTTTCACCTCTACTAGTTCACTTGATTTGACTTCAAGATTTTGAGAGTAAATAATTGTTGTGGTTTGAACAAGAAATGCCCCCCACAAGCTTAGGTGGTGAACATAATCCCAGCTGGTGGTGGCACAGTTTAAGGAGGTTATGGAACTTTTAGAAGGTAGAGCCTTGCTGGAGGAAGCGTGTGTGTGGGGGGGGGGCTTTGAGGTTTTATGGCCCTTGACCCACTTCCTGTTCTTTCTCTACTTCCTATACACAGCTGACTTGTGGAGCTGCCAGCTTGCTATGCCATGTCTTCCTCACCATGATGGCTCTTTATCCTCTGGAACATAAACCAAAATAAACGTTTCCTTCTATAAATTGTTTTGGGTCATGGTCTTTATTACAGCAACAGAAAAGTAACTAATGCACCAATACTATTACACTTCACTTCAGAGTCTGTTAGACCTAACTGTGCCTAAGGCCAAGCAAGAGAAATGCCCAATGTCACATGCTTTCTGAATCATCATTTATGTCTAGGAATTCTCCAATTTGTGATCATTTATGTCTAGGAATTCTCCAGTTTGTATCTGATTCTATGGAATTGCTACTTTTACTATTATTATTTGGTAAATGCTGTAGTCTGGGCCAATTACAGTATTAGCATCACATATATGTTTAATTTAGCCTTCAGAAGTAGGTAGAATCTCCATTAAAAGGCAGAACCGGAGGGTCAGAAGGCACCTTGTGCAGGATTACACAGATAGGATGACAGCCCACTGTTCTTAACTATACCATGAGGTCTCCTTTTGGATACAGACACATGCATTTTTCTTACCTGCACAGCTGATAACATTTATAATACAAATCACAACCATAAAGGTCTGAAAGAATTAACTAGATTCTGTGAGTGTAGCCTTATCTCATAGTAAAAAGTGTTTTTTTAAGTAAAAAGCAAGTCCTTTGAAGGTCAAGGCTATTTCATGTGAAACACAACACAAGTACCAAGAGGTGAAATACTGCCAGCTCAGGGGCACACACTTAGATACAGCACCATCATTCCAATTCTGTTCATGCCTCAAGTTAAACTGAGTGGGGCTCATAGCACCTCTGTGTGGCTGCTATCCAGGAGCACAGACATGCGTCCCTACCACCAAGCCTGTGTCCATCATATTCTGTCAGGATTACTCATCTCACTTCTAGCTTCCAGGTGTAGGACCCCCAGACTGGGGTGCCCTACGTTCTCGGGAGGTCGCACCCCAATAACTCAGTCCTCAAACCAGAAGATGCAATTGCAAGAGGATTTAATCGTCTAGACGGACCTCCCCCTTAATCAAAAGGGGAAGTGCAGATTCAGTTTAGAAGCTGGGTTATATAGACAGAAACCACAAACCACAAGCAGTAAGGGGGCTGGTATTTAGGTCACAATAGGAGCTTGGTTACATGGTTACAGCAGAAATGGGAGGGGGGATTTTTCAGGTATTTTTCCAGCTTGATCAAAGGAGCATGAAAAGGTCAGGTCATCTTTTCTATAGTTAGAATTATTTTTCTTTTGCTTCCTTGTACAGTTTCCCAGAATATAGCTTGGGAAATTTAGTTTTACTTTAATCTGGGGGGCTTTGATTTATGATTCCATCACAGGTACCCAAGTTACCTATACCATTCAGAATGCAACCTACCACAGCCTCTTGTGGTCCCATGCTTCTAAATTCTTTCAATAAACACATGTGTACTGTACCCAAGTTACCTATACCTTTCAGAATGCAACCTACCATAGCCTCTTGTGGTCCCATGCTTCTAAATTCTTTCAATAAACACATGTGTACTGTTATGCCAGCTAGCATGTACATTCCTACTCTGGAATGACCAAAGCCCCATCTCATATGCCAAAGTGCTTCTCAGTCTGCCAGATGAAGCAAGAGCAGCCCTGGGTAACCAGGACTCTAACAGAGGTTACACATGGTAAACCCAGCACAAGGCAGGAGAGCTGCCACTGGAGGGAGGCAGCAGTAGGGTTATGGATTTGGAAACTGGCTTTGAGTCTTAATTCAGATGACAGATGATAAGACCTAAGGTAAGATAAAGGAGATGTTTAAAGGGAATAAACCTGAGAGATGTAGGTCTTGATAAGTAGAGGAGCATGCTGATGTATCCCCCAGTCTGTGAAGTCAATGAATACCCTAAGGCAGCAAGTCCAGCTGAGCTCCCTGTCATGAGGGAAATGTTCCACAAAGAAGAGTGTTCAACTAAACAGTCTCTAGTTGCATGGAACACTGACTAGGTGCCAAAAATCCAGCTAAAACTACTGAGGAACTTAATTTTTTATTTTATTTTAATTAATGGGGTTTTTGTTTTGGGTTTTGTTTTGTTTTTGAGACAGGATCTCCATATAGCCTCAGCTGGCTTTGAGCTCTGTGTAGATCAAGCTGGCCTCAATCTCACAGAGACCTACCTCCTCTGTCTCCCGAGCACTGGGATTAAAGGCATGTGCCACCATGCCTGGCTTAATTTTAATTACTGTTAACTAAAGCAATAGTATGAGGCTACTGGCTAGGATGTTCAATAGCACCTGTCTAGGGGATTGGTTCAGCTAGTTGGAGGGAAGAAGTTCTTATTACCAGTATCTAAGAAAAGAAATACCATGATCAAAGGTATACACTCAAGAAATTGCTGACTAGAAGAACAAAGAAATCGATGAGTTAAAGAGACAATCTTTAAGGAACCAACCCCTTCCTTCCAAAATTCCATCAAAGACATATCTACCCTTCATCATTTGGGTTCTGACTAATGCTCTCAATATGCAACATCAAAAGGTGCTCATCTGTCTCCAAGTAATTGTTAAAATACAGCTACTAATCAAAAATATCTTATACTATATCACAAAACCATAGTGAGTCACAATTTAGGGAACAGTCATAGACTAAAGTTGTCAGAATAAATAATCACCTAGTTTTTCATTCTTGCTTTAAAGTCTTTTGCCAAAAATGACAAGCAGAGCAGAGAGGACCAGACAACTTTTATGATAATCTAATGTGAGTTCAGGTAATTTCAAGTACATTTCAGATCACTCATTTCATAAGCAGTGCAAATGACATTGAGTTTACATTCCTCTGCATGTGATATGGAAGATTTCTGAATTTATTTCATGAAAGGTAATTTTTCTATAGGGCATTTTACAAAGCCAATAATAAAAGTTTTCCCTAGTAATAACTCTGTTAATCTCACTTATTCATGGCACTTAAAGTCAATAGGAAATAAAGAATTCTGTGATATGAAAAATGCTTAACCTGGAAACAGGTTGCGCCTAAATGAGTCATTGTTAATCTGCCAATATTTTCCTAATCTGTTTGCTATTTTGGTCCTTGCCATCTCTCTTAAGCCTCCAAATTCCAGTTTTGCAGAACCAGATGCTAGCATATACACAACTAA